CCCCCCCCCCAAACTGAGTTGTTAAATAACATAAACTCAGTCGGCAGCAGCCGAGTCCTCCCAGTGCCACAACCCCCCTCAGATAAACTGACTTATAATATTAGAGGCGGGTTAAAGCAATGCGATGTCAGGCCCGAAGTCAGGAAGGTGAGTTAATTGCCGTGGGGTCGTTAACGTTAGACCCCGGGCTTTGCTTGTCCCGGCCTCGCCTGGGGATGCTGCCTCCCAAAATATTCCCTCCTGGGAGCGTTTTGGGACATATTCAAGTATGTAGGGTGGGTTTTTTTGTTTGTGTGGTTTTTTTTGTTTGATTTTTTTTTTTTTTTTTCCCGGGGAAGGAAATAATAAAAAATTGACTCTGTGGTGGTGCAAAGCACTGGGCAACGCATAATTAAAAACAAAAATAATGATTAAAGATGTTACGGGAACGACTCCTCTTATTTTTCTCCCCAGCAAACAACTCCTTGTTTTTTCCCCCCAGCTTTGGAGCACTGGGAATACTAGGGTTTTTATAAATTTAAATTTATAAATATATTTTATATTTTTTATGCTTTTATGTAAAACTGGCTCTACCCCAGCACTGGTTTGTTTTTTGGGTTTTTTTTTTGGGGCAAGGTGTGGGTTTGGGGCTGGGAGCCGGGAACGTGACTACCGGCAGCGCGTCGATGGGGGAAGGAATTAAAAAGAAATTTGCTCTCGTAACGAAGAAATCTGATGCGCTGCCGGCCGGGCTTAACTCCCAGCTACTGAAATGGAGCTGGAGATGCGCTCCCTCTGCTTTTCCATCTTGCTAACTACTCCATTAGATAAATTTGGGTTAGAAATGTTTTGGGTTTTTTAAGGTAATTAATTGCAGGAACAATTTGCTGTGCTCTCGTGGGCAATGCTTAGATCCACAGTGTATTTTGCAAGGAAAAAAGGGATTTTATTGAAGCAGCCGGCAGTAGGGATGCTGGGGGTGCTGGGAGACGAGCTCACCCCTCCGCCCTTAAATTTAATATTTAATATTATTAAAGCGGAACATGCTTTTCTGCCCACGGAGCTGGGCTGCTCCAGCTCTTTGCATGCAAAAACGTCTCCCGGGCTTGTCGCAGACGCTCTTGTGGTTACAAAACTCGGAAGGATTGTGTTGCCATCCCCAGCTGACCTTTAAGGAAAATAAATAAATAATAATAAAAAATAATGCTGCTCTGACTCCGCTTCCCCTCACCACGAGTTTTCTCCCATGCTGATAATACCCCAAAATCTTGCCTGATCCCCACGGTGCCGGTGCTACCTCTCTTCTTTGGCTGCACCAAACCCCCCCATTGGTAAATGCCGGCGCTGTGGCACATACCGTGGCTTTAGGAGCAGGTTTTACCCAGCCCTTAGTGGGTGCGTAAGTTTTTCCTGGGCTGGGAGCCAGCATGCAGCCGTGTTATCCTGGGCAACGGCCGGGTCCAGTTATCTTCACTCTGGTGAGTGTGCACAAGTGTGCAAGCGAGTGTGCAAGATGCTGCAAGGCTGCACCCTCTCCCCGCAGTCACCTCCTGCATCTGTCCCAGAATGGGACCTTTTGCAATCAGCCTCCTGGATGCTTGTTAAAGCCTCATAGCTAATTTTTATGGGCTCTTTTTAAATGTGCATTTTCCTGGAATTCCCTCCTGGGACATTTTTTTATTGTTATTATTTTTAAAGGGATTATTAATTTCCTTGTTCCATGAAGCAGGCAGCATCCTGAAATCCTTCTGTGCCGGAGGTAAAAAAAAAAAAAAAAGGGTTAAAAAAAAAAAAGACTTCTAAAGCCAAAGGCAGCCTGTTGCAGGTTTGGGGGGCTGCTGTCACCCCATGGGTCTGTCTCCTCTAAAGGTCCAGCCTTCTGCGTTCGAGCGATGAAGGAAGCAGAAAAAAAAAAAAAATCTGAACTTATTAAAATTAGAAGTGCTGTGCTTACCTTCCTATAGGAGTTAGTAGGGGACAAACCACAAGTGTTGGATATGTCCAGGCAGTAAGTAAGTTTATTGCACAGAAGAAAGAAGGGGAGGTATGGTGGTTTTGTTTTTTTCCTAAACTCCAAATAAAGCTGCTGTTTTCTGCAAGCAGTTAAAAAAAACAAAAAACCAAAACCAAAAAAACCCAACACAAAACCAAACCCTGTCTGTGATTTTGCAGGAGTTTCCCATGCAAGGCTGCCCTTAAAAATCAATTATTTTTTTTTTTTCCTCCCCTAACTCTCCATCTTAAGCCTCTCCTTTAATGGCGAGGTTAAAGCCGAAAGGCTCCTAGATTGGGCTGGGCAGCGTGTTTGGAACCGGGAAGCCCAAAGCGAGCGGGAGGAGCTGACTCACAGTGACCCTGCCTGGGCAGAGCCTCCAAAAATGCCGGCAGCCTTCCTACCAACTCTGTCCCTTTGCCTCTTCAAGCTGCTGGAGTTTAATAGAAATATAAAGAGTTTTTTGGTAAAGGTTAAAAATTTAAGTTTTTCTTTTACTTTTGCAGTTTTAACCTCTAGCAAAAAAACTTTTATTATTTAATCCTTTGTGGGGTGGTGACTGGTGTTCTGGTGTTGGAGCGAAGAGGTGTTGCTACCTGTCACCTTCCTGGAGCAAAGTTCATGCCGGTATGATGCATCCCCATCCCTGCGGCATGGTGCAGCCGTGACTCACCGGGGTGCTTACCATACATGGGGGTTCGCCCGTCGGCTTTCCTGGGGTGAGCGAGCCGGCCTTTAGCGATGAAAAGTAAAAATCCCCAAAAAGAAAGGGATGGCCCCCAAAAAGCAAAGAAGAAAAATCACCCCAAAACAAAAAGAAAATCCCCCCAAAACCAAAAATAAACCTTTTTTTTTGACATTTGTTCTAGCACAGGTTGCTTTCAGTGCTCCTGGTGTAACCCATCACAGTTTTGTGGAGTGATGGGCGGGTGGATGAGGTCGGAGTTAGGATTTTGGAATTTTTGGAGGCTTTTACCTTGTTTTTGTGGGATGCCAGCAACTTTCCAGCCTGGTTTTGCCCTCCCAAGCGGGGCATTTTCTTCTCAGGGTGGGTTTATTCAGAAGCACCGAACACAACCAAGTGCCAAAACTTCCCTGATTAGTTGCGTTGGGGCCAAGCCTAATTAATGAGCTTCATTAACGGGGCTGGCTTTATTCCCTGTTGCTTTTTCCCTGCAAACTTTAATGCAGGGGGGAGGTGGCTTGGCCGGAGAGGCAAGGTCAGCAAGCAGCACTTAGTTATGTTTATTTATATTATTTATTAAAAAAAGAAAAAGAAATTGCTTCTTAAATAAGAAAATATCTATTTTTTTGAGTCTGCTTTGCAATTAGCCCTCTTGATTTAGGGGTTGCATTTAGGTGGGGTCTGACTGGCACCAATCCCTTGGGATCGTTAATCCGAGATGCTGGGGGAGCATCTCTGGGTTGGGGTGATACACCAGTACCCGGGATAACTAGAGAGAGCCCAGCCCCCCACATTAAGGGGCTTATAAATTTCACGTGGATCTTCCCAAAGCTGATTAACTGGGAATGTCGGATCCTGGTTCTCGGAGTTAAGTGCCGGGAAAATCTCCTGCCTGGGATAATTGGGCTGTTAACGAAGGTGGCCTGAGCGCTGGCCTGCCCTGACCCTGCTCCCAAACAAGGCTCCGATTGTCGCTCTGGCTGAAGCGGGAGGAAGAGGAGGCGGGCGAAGGGTTTGCCAAATAGCCGGGATTTTGCTTAGCGACTGTTAATTAGGCTCCAGTGCAAAAACTTTGTTAGTAGCGGGTGTCTGGGGCATCCTCGCGCTGATGCTGGGACGATGCTCGACTGGCCGGCGGCGTCACCGCAGTGTCCCCAAAAGCATCTCGCGCTGGCGTGCTGCCTGGGTGTCATGTGGAGCCCTCAGAGGGGATCCTGAGAGCCCAGATAAAACCTCCTGCCCCACTCCAGAGGCTAAAGATTCCTTGAGTCCCCAAACATGGGGTTTTGGGTTTTTTTTTAAGGCCAAACCAGTGGTTTTTTAGTTGTTTTTTCCCTTAGCCCATGTGGATGCCATAAAAAAAGCAAGTTTTCTCTTTTATCCAGCATATTTGTGCTCACAACCTTAAGAGCATCCCTCCTCCTCTTGCAGCTTCCCAGGGAGAAGCGCTGGGGGACCTCTCTGATGGGAGGGGGGCATAGCTGGGACCCTGAGTTTAACCCCTCTTTTTTGTTTTCTTCCCCCTTTTCCTGCAGATGACGGCTCGCCTGATGCTCGCTGTGGGAGGAGCGGTGCTGGGTTCCTTGCAATTTGGCTACAACACTGGTGTCATCAACGCCCCGCAAAAGGTGAGCGTGCGCTGAGCAACTTTGCCGTAGCAAAATTCCACCCCACCCCTCCCCCGTGCCCGAAAACAAACTGGCATCTACTGCCAGCCCGGCTAAAATAGTACATCCCGCTAGGCAGCTTACTGCCTGTAATGGGATTTGTGAGGGAGTTATTTAGCTCCCACCTTCCCAGGAGAATTAGTTTCCTACTCGCTTAGAGTTTTTGCTGGGAAAAATCCCAGGAACGTGTGCAGGATGCTCTCCCGGTGGGACCAGCGTAACTTTTAACCTTGGCTTTTAGCGAAGATCTGGGAGTTAATTAGGGTCTGAGTCATCTCGAAGGGGGAGAATGACTGCTCCAATGGGAGCTTTGCATCCCGGAGCGTCAGGGGCAGGACATCCCCGGGAGGACAGAGGCTTGGCTGGGGCAGGCTGCGTGTGAAGGGGGATGGAGAGCAGGAGGTGCTTGCTCCTTTCCCTAGCATAGTGCCAGGACCCTCCAGCGACTGATAGGTACGTGGGAGCCTTGAAAAACTTGACTTTCTCCAAATTACGTGTTTTTTTGAGGTGTTAAAGGCTTGGAAATGTTAGCTCAGAAATCCCATGTGGTGCTTGCAATGTGCCCTGGGTAAAGCTCAATTGCCAGGGTAAGGTGTCGAAGGACAACGTGGGGTCCAGCTGCTGCTGTGTGAGAGCAGAGCCTGTTCCCAAGCATCATCACAGCCTCTGGTGCACCATCCCAAATAATTAAAAACACCAAGGCAGGATTCATGCCACGAGAGTATTAATACCATTACCAGCGAGCAGGCTGCAAAATCTCGCCTCAAGCGCTGAAAAAACTCCTTGTGGGAGAGAAGACCCTGTACAAAAACTTCCCAAACCCCATCAGTGTGAAAAGAGCAAAAAAGACGCAAATTGCCTTTATTTGAGGTATTGCATTAAATTGTATTTAATCACGGTCAGTGGCCCAAGCAGAATTTCACGTGGAGGCTGCGACTCCTGCCCAGCACCCTTGGTGCTTGCGCCCATGGCCATGGTGCATGCATCTGTCTGCCAAAAGTGTTGCCCTGCTAAAAAATCCTGGACCGATTCGCGCTGGCGATGTTCGTGCTGGGCCAGTGGCGAGGATCCTCCTCTGGAGACGGGCAACGGGAGCAGCATTTGAAACGTCGGCGAGCTGGGAAATCCCTGGAAGCATGCTGAGGAGCTGCTTTCTGGCATCTGCCCTCGTTTTTCCCCAAGCTCTGGCACCGCGGGGAACAAGCGCTCTGTAATTACCACCTTGTGTCAGAGCCTGGCCCCTGCATCCTGAGGACGCGCGTCGTTTCCCTGCAGCTGAAGGACTTTTCTCCATCCTCTCCCGACCCAGGAGACGCTGCTCGGGGTGACATGGGCGGGGATCACGCCTGAGCTGGGGTCTTCCCTTGGGATTGAGCTCCAGTTCCTACAGAACCCCCCAGGAAAGCCAGATCCCACCCTGATGGGTGTTGCCTCAGTTTCCCTCGTGCATTTTAGGATTAAAACCTTGGGGCTCAGGCCAGGGATGGGCTGTGTATTTTAGGGGCAAGTCACCCAGTAAGTAACGTTGTGTTCGGGGTGCAGAACTGAGGGAGGAAAGGATTTGGGGTGCTCTGTATCAGGAGCACAAGGGGAGGCAGGGTGAGTGTTGTCCTGGGTAGCAGGATGCTCCGGGCACGGGGGTTGATCCCACCTTTAAGGATGGGGACGCACTGGTGTGCAGGATTGGGATGGGGACGCGTTGGGGTGCAGGATGAGGATGCTTTGGGATAAATTCGGGTGCAGGATGGGGATAAATTGTGGCACAGGATGAAAGTTGGGATACATGATGAGGATGCATTGGGGTGCAGGATGGGGATGCATCAGGGCAAAGGACTGGGATTGGGATGGATAAGGGTGCAGGATGGGGATACATCAGGATGCATCGGGGCACAGGATTGGGATGTATCGGGGTGCTGGATGGGGATGCGTTGGGCTGCATTGGGGCAAAGGATTGGGATTGGGGTGCATTGGGATGCATTGGGGCGCAGGATTGGAGTGCATCAGAGTGCAGGATGGGGATGCATTGGGGTGCATTGGGGTAGAGGATTGAGATTGGGATTGGGATGCATCAAGGTGCAGGATGGGGATACATTGGGATGCATTGGGGCACAGAATTGGGATGGGTATGGATGGGTGTGCAGGACTGGGGTGCATCACTTCCCTGGCTTCAGCAGTGCAAGCGCAGCAGTGTTTGCTGGCAGCAGCTCCCCATGGCCGGCAGCCTTGCAGAAAGGCTCCTTTCTCAGGCGGAGGGCTGAGCGCCGGTTTTGTGGTCCTCTTAATATAGTCCTGCCCACTGCTGAAACAGCGGCTTGGTGTTTGTGGGGTGTTTGCAGACGTGATGTGTGGAGGGGACGGCCTGAAACTGGGTGAGGGCTGGTAAGAAGCACTCAGCTGAAATGAAATGAGGGCGAGGGAGGGAGAAAAAAAGCCCAACTTTTTGGAAATGCAATTAATTTTTTTCACGCTTCTCACTTTAAAGTCATAATTTTTCATCTCCTCTTCTCCCAACAATGGGCTTATGGTGGGTTTTTCCATCCATTCTTTTTTGCAGGAGGAAAGGGGGCTGGGAGGGGGGGTATTTGGGTGTTATTTCTTGATAAGCCAAAGCACAGCCCGGCGTAGCTCAGCCAGCACTGGGGCATCTGCTGTTGCTTGGATTAATTTTTTTCTGCTTCAGGGGGAGAGAGATGGAGGCTGTTGGGAAAGTGGGGAGGAATCTAGAGCACCGCAAGGTTTGGTGGAGTGTCCGCAGAGACCTGCGTACCCCCACTGAGAGCCTGAGCCAGTCCTGGGTTCTCCAAATAACAATATCAATTATTTATTTTGGTGATGTTAGGATAAGGGGAAAAAGCCCCCAAGGTGTCAAAACTTCCAGGTGAAGCGGGAGGCAAATGAAATCACTTAAATATTGAAATCCTAATGGTTCAGGGGCTTTGTAAAAGGAACAACTTTAAAAAAAAAATCACGTTATTGAAATTTATAGTGAAGCACAGGCTGTATTTCTTGCGCTGCCTCTGCCAGGGGCTCTCATTTGTGCTTGAAGCGATGGGAAAACTAGAAAACGAAGCGGCATTGTGTGAACGTATAATCGGGAGCTGCGTGTATGCAAAACTCTTTGAAGTAGGGAGGTCTTTGAGCCACTTGATGTCCACCAGCAGCTTCCCCTGCTTGCACGAAATCTCCGCTCCTTCCAGGTAGGGTTGGTCGGGCATGTTATCGAGTCCTTTGCTTTTTTGTTTTGGGTATGGGTGACCCTTAAATAACTTACTTGAAGCTTTCAGCAGTGGGCTGGCTTTAAAAATACATTAAAAAAAAGTAAAAAATAAAAAGGGTGTTCTGCAAAGATGGTAATTAAAAACAAGCACCTGTCTTGGATGTTAGCATAGCAGAAGCATTGCAATATTACAGAATTATAGCAGAAGTATGGCGTTGTGGAAGTATTGCAGAAAAAAACCCTAGAAATTAAATTCAAGGGAGCGTCCAGGGGGATGGGAATTGATCTTGTCCGCCTCCAGCTGCCCAGATGACCCTGCTGTCTTCCTCACCTTCCTCCAGCATCTCTGCCATCTCCCCCCACCGTCTTGCTTCTCCTCCAGTGATGGAAGCATCCCTCCCTGCCTCCCGTGCCCCAGGGAGGAGTGTGACCTCCCTGTGGCCGCCTGGTGAGGCGAAAGAGTTATTTTGGCAATGCCGAGCCTCTCTCCGTAGGGCGAGACGAGAACCCGTCTGGCTGCATTTCCCCCGCGCATCCCATCAGGTTTCCTCCCTTGGGTTGGAGCCGAGCCACCAGCTGGGCGGCTCCCGGCTCAGTGATGCATTGTCTTGTGAGCCGCGCTCACCGGCCAAGGGTCTGTAGGTAGCTGGGCTGAGGCCGGGCAATTCATAACCCTGGTGGCACAGATGAAATGGGGATGGTTTTAACCTGTGGCTTCATTTCTCCCGCTCTTTTGCAGGTGATTGAGGACTTCTACAACCGTACCTGGCTGTACCGATATGAGGAGCCCATCAGCCCTGCCACCCTCACCACGCTCTGGTCCCTCTCCGTCGCCATCTTCTCTGTCGGAGGCATGATTGGATCCTTTTCCGTGGGGCTCTTTGTCAATCGCTTCGGACGGTGAGCACCGAGCGTGGTGGACCTCAGTGCGGGGGGTTGTGCAGCCTCTCCCCACCCCAGCATCCCAGGGACACCTCCCTCCTGCCCAGAGCTGGTGTTTGGCTTCTCTTGACACTCCTTCAGCCTCTCTGGCACCCATGGTCCTCCTCACACTCCTCCCTTCCCTCCCCAGGCGCAACTCCATGCTGATGTCCAACATTCTCGCCTTTGTGTCTGCCGTCCTCATGGGCTTCTCCAAGATGGCTTTCTCCTTCGAGATGCTCATCCTCGGTCGCTTCATCATCGGCCTCTACTCCGGCCTCACCACCGGTTTCGTGCCCATGTATGTGGGCGAGGTGTCGCCCACTGCACTCCGGGGCGCGTTGGGGACCTTCCACCAGCTTGGCATTGTCTTGGGCATCCTCATCGCGCAAGTAAGTGCTGGAGAGCTGGCTCACGGTGGGAGGGGCGTTCCTCCATCTTTGATACTAATGTTCATCAGGGTCAGCAGGGGATGGGGTTTAGTGCAGCAGCGCAGAGCATTGCCTGTGCTGTGGATCTGCATGGCCCTTCAGATGGAGCTGGGCCTGGAGGGATGGACCTGGAGCTCAGCAGGAGCAGGAATGCCATGAGATCTTAAGCTTTGGGATGGGTGGCGTCATGACAGGACGTCTGTTGCCCACCTGAAAGCAGCACAGCTCTCCGCATCCCTCCGATGGGTGTCCAAACCTGTAGTGCGCCTGTGAGCAGCAGAGTTGGGTCCAACTTGAGCTGGGAAAGGGTGGCCCAACCTCTCTCGTCTGCAGGTGTTTGGTTTGGACTTGATCATGGGAAACGACTCACTCTGGCCGCTGCTCCTGGGGTTCATCTTCGTCCCTGCCCTGCTGCAGTGCATCATCCTGCCCTTTGCCCCCGAGAGCCCCCGCTTCCTCCTCATCAACCGCAACGAGGAGAACAAAGCCAAGAGTGGTGAGTGACCTCTGTCCCCGAGCTTGTCCCACCACGCAGGACGGTCCTCAGCTGCTCCTGACTCCACCTCTTCCCTGTAGTCCTCAAGAAGCTGCGGGGCACGACAGACGTCAGCAGTGACCTCCAGGAGATGAAGGAGGAGAGCCGGCAAATGATGAGGGAGAAGAAGGTCACCATAATGGAGCTCTTCCGTTCTCCCATGTATCGCCAGCCTATTCTCATCGCCATTGTCCTGCAGCTGTCCCAGCAGCTCTCAGGGATCAATGCAGTGAGTGTTGGGGGGACGTGGATGCCGTGGGTCAGCTTGTTTCACCCAGAACTTGGGTCATGCTGGCTCCACGACCTGACTCCTTTCCTCACGCCACATCCCTGCCCTTTGTAGGTCTTCTACTACTCCACCAGCATCTTCGAGAAGTCAGGTGTGGAGCAGCCCGTCTACGCCACCATTGGCTCTGGTGTGGTGAATACGGCTTTCACAGTCGTTTCGGTGAGTTTTGGCCCACCAAGCTCTCACTGGGGAAGGTGGAGAGAAGGGGGGTTTCCTCCAGGCTGGGGAGGCGCTGATGGACGCATGTCTCCATCCAACAGCTCTTCGTGGTGGAACGAGCTGGACGCAGGACCCTCCACCTCATCGGCCTGGCGGGGATGGCAGGGTGTGCAGTGCTCATGACCATTGCCCTGACGCTGCTGGTGAGTGATGGGCGTTGAGGGGACGGGCGGGCTGGGACGAGGTCCTGCACGCTGCCCCTTGCTGTGGTGCCTTGGAGGAGGAGGTCTGGCTGGGGAGGAGGAAGGACTTGTCCTCCTAGAAGTGATGGCTGAGTGGTCCCCACTGCCTCTCTCGAGGTCCCAGAAATCCAGTCTCCAGTCTGGAGAAACTTCATGTTTTGTGAAGCCAGCACCATGCGTGTTTGAGTCTTATCATCTGGGGTGGCCAGATGCTTCGTCCCCCTTCACCGAACCGACCTTCTCTCTCTCCCTTGGACTAGGACCAAATGCCCTGGATGTCCTACCTCAGCATTGTGGCCATCTTCGGGTTCGTGGCCTTCTTTGAGATCGGTCCAGGCCCCATCCCTTGGTTTATTGTGGCGGAACTGTTCAGCCAAGGCCCTCGTCCCGCTGCCTTCGCTGTGGCAGGGCTGTCCAACTGGACCTCGAACTTCATCGTGGGCATGGGCTTCCAGTACATCGCGGTAATCCTCTCCCAATGCTGGCGGTGGGGACCGGGTTGGGGGCACGAGCCTCACCTTGCACCCGCTGGGTTTGCGCCTTCTCTGGAGCCCCAAAGCCTGGACTGGCTTCTAGGGAAGAGGGATGGGGCCAGGATCTCGGGAGGGAGCGGGGAGTCAGACTCAATGATCCTGGTGGGTCCCTTCCAACTGGAGATACTCTGAAAGAGAAGGAAGACCCAGGCCTTGGGCCGTGGTGGCAGGTATGGGCCGGACAGTCGCTGGATGGTCTTTCAGCCTCGGTCTGTTGCTCCACTCGGGGCCACGGTGATGGAGCAGCGTCTCCATCCGCACGCTTACCCCTTCCTCCTCTCTCCTTCCCAGCAACTCTGCGGCTCCTACGTCTTCATCATCTTCACAGTGCTGCTAGTCCTCTTCTTCATCTTCACCTACTTCAAGGTGCCAGAGACGAAGGGTCGGACCTTCGACGAAATCGCCTCTGGTTTCCGTCAGGGGGGAGCGAGCCAGAGCGACAAAACCCCGGATGAGTTTCACAGCTTGGGTGCCGACTCCCAGGTGTAACCTGCCGGCGGCTCCTCCTGGCCGCCCACCTTCTCTCCTGAGTTTGCTGGGGTGGAATTTTTTAAAAACGCTTTGTACAGAAACCAGGAAGGAGGGAGCAGGGGGTCCGGCTCTTGTGCATACACCCCTTTTCCAGACTCCCCCACTGGTTTATCGGGGACAGACTGACCTATTTTATTATTTTTATTTTATTTTATTTTTTTCTGCTAGAAACGATTTTTTTTATTATTATTTTATTAGCTGGTTTCGCGTCCAGGATTTCAAAGCCAATAGATGGTTTAAAAACCAACCATGCAGCCTCCACCAGCGGGAGGGCGGCTCCCTTTTTTTAATGACGCGATAGGTTATTTAATGAGAAATCACGTAGCGGAAGTTTTTAAAGGAAAACTTTTAAAGGAAGCTTTTTTTTTAATGTTCTAATCATAGAAAAATCAAATTGACTAAATCTAAACCAACAATTTTTTTAAAAGGAAAAAAAACCAAACCCAACGAGTTATTTTTGAAAACAGTTGAATTTGATTTGAAGCCCCCGGTGGGTTCGCGGGCGGGTGGTTTCCCTGCGCCGGGGGAGCGCTGAGGATGGAGTGGTCCGGACCTGAGCGGCTGGAGAGGTCGATGGCCTGTCGCCAGTTGCGGAGCGTCGTCTCCGCCAGCGGCTTTTCATCTCCCTTTGCCTGAATTTCAGCTGGGAGGGGACAAGGGGAGAGGGGGTGTCTCTCTCTCTCTCTCTCTTTTTTTGGTTTAATCTCGGCAATATTTGCCTGACGGTGAAGCGCCGGCAGCCACACCCTACAGCAACACCCCCCCTCTCCATCGCTACCCCCCCGCCCCAAATCCCAGACTCACCAAAATCCACCATCACGCGGATACATCCATTTCCTGCTCTGTGTATAGACTGGAAGATATTTATATTATATATATTTTTGTTCAATGGTTGTTAATAGTAGACATTTAAGTTATAGCGTTTCTGATTTGACAAGCAAAGTACTGTAAATATTCTCGGAGTATATTCACACTGTATAATGTATACAAAAAGGTACAGACGCAAAGGTATAGTTTCTATAGCGACTAAGATAAAGCTTGTACATGGTTAGGATGACTTTTGTATAGTTCATTACCTGCACTGTAGTTGTATCTATTGCACTGAATTCCAGGCTGTAGTATATTAAAGAAGAAAAGAAAAAAAAAAAAGAAGAGAAATACTGTCCGTTTCAAACAAAAGTGAAAAGAAAGGAAAAAGGAAAATAAATAAAGCCTCCCCTCTCCCTGCGGGCAGCTGCTGGGGGAGCTACTGGCACATTCCCAAAGCCACAGGCAGGTTTTTTTAAATAGTACTTTTTTTTAATTTATTTCTCTCTTTTGGAAGTGACCACACTTGCAAAAAAATAAAGGTGGGGGAAAAAAGTATATATATATATATATATAAAAAAATACCCTGTGATAAACTTGTCGCGTCTCTGCGCAGTGTGGCGCCTGAGGAATGTGTGTGTGGTGGGGTTTTTGTTTTGTTTTTTTTGTTTTTTTTAAAACAACTACAGACAACTAAGTGCCAAGAGGAAGGTGTGTGGTGGTGGTGTGCTCACAATAAATGAGAATGGATGCAGCGACCTGGCCGGCCGTGTCCTGTGCCTTTATTTTGGCTTCGCCAGGCTTTCGCCTTTGCTTTGAGGGCGGGGTGGGGGGTGTGTGCTTGGTCCTGGGATGGAGCATTGCAGCCTTCATCCATCACCACATCCTCCTCATCCTCCTGGCTGTGTTCGTGTTTAAAAACCCGACTCCCTTTTAACTCCCCAGCAGGGCTGGGAAGAGCGAAAGCGGCAATGGGAAATTCGCTCCCCTCCGCGTCGGCAACAGGTTCAGAGCCCCGGTTTTGGGTGGATGTGGCTCGCACCAGGTTTCCTAAATTTGGGGTTTGCTGGGATGGGAGCAGCCCCACTCCCTCTGTAACTCCTCGCTCCAGACTGGAGCCATCCATGGAGCAAGACGTGGCCGAACAGGCGGCACGCGGTGCCTGCAGATATGCTGGTGGCTGTGGGGCTCACGCAAGCGCAGCTTGGTGGGTCTCCCTGGCTTGGCTGGCGAGCACATGTCCCTGCCAAGGTTTCCCTCCATGGGAACAACTTCTGGTTGTAAACCACCCGCCCCCGGGGTGTAGGACTGGGTTTTAATTGCCCTGAGCAGCCCCACCTCGGACCCACCGCCCTGGGGCTGGTGCCAAGGCTGGAGCCTTGACCTCCTCTGTCCCCTCACTGGACCCCAAACCTGCCTGCCACACCTGGCTCTGCCCGTGGGGCTGTGATGATCATCTGCTTTGGGAGGGAGCTCCTGCCTCTTGCTGCCAGCACCAGAGCAAGGCAGGGAGGGAGGTTGCCGCTTGTTGGTGGATTTTCTTTCTCCTTGAACTGATGAGGTGCCAAGAGCTGCAAGTCTGAACACTTTCGGGCAAAGAAACGCTGATCTTGGTCACTTTGGGCTTTTTTCTGTTTATTGAAACGTCTCTTTGCCCTGAAGGGCAGGCACTGGAAACGGCTGTTGCAGCGTGTTGTGTCATAGGAAATAGCTCTTGTAAAAATCTTTCTAAAGCTCCCAAAAATGTTCTTTATTTGCTCAGGGCTCTTCTCATTGCCCGGGCTAACGTTGCCACTCCCAGCCCTCGTCCAGCCCCGCTCCTGGAGATGCTCAGCCCTATGTAAAGTTAATTTTGATGCCATCTTTTATGGCGCTAAACAGCCAAGAGCAGTGACACCAAGCCGCCAGCCTGGCACATCACACAGGCTCAAGCCTGGCTGAGGAGCATCCCGAGGGATTACTGCCACGATCGACCCTGCAGCTCCAAATCCCCACGGTGACCCAAATCCTCCATGCCCCGAGGCACTGTGCCAGCAGGCGCAGTCCCCCCCGCCCCAGCTCCTGGCATCCCCCATCCCAGGGAGGTGGTCGTTCCAGCCATGGAGAGACCCAATGAGGGTGGACATGTCTGCCAGCATCTCCCCTTGGAGTACGGGGAGGTCTCCCACCCGTCCCCCAAGCCTGTCTGCCATGGGGCCCCTCATCCACCCCCCCACCAGCGCTATCCCACCCCCTGCAATGGAACATTGGCTGAAGCGGAGGCTTTCCCTTTACCAGCAGCATCAATCCCTTCTAATTGCTCAGGTCTCAGCTTGACAAAGCATTTAAAAAGCGTACTTGACTCCATCCCAATTCAGCAAGGCAATTAAATGCACTCATAAATCCTCCTGAAGTAAATGAGACTTAATCGTAGGCTTAAAGCTCAGCTGAATTCAGACTTTAGCAGCAGGGCAAGTTTCCCTTAACCTCTTTCCCAGATGTGCGAGGCTGTCACATGCTTTGGCCTCTGAACAGAGCTCACCGCACTGACTGCGTCCTGTGTCGCTCTCCCAGGGTCTCCTCTAGCCCTTCTCCAACATCCCTTTACCTTCACGCCGAGGGTCACGCGTACCCTCTGCCCTGCCAGTCTTTGCTCTCCAGGGCAGAAGCCTGTGAGAGCTGCAGGTTGGGGATGCACTTGGTGGAGGTCCGTGGACAGAAGCGCATGGTGACACAAGGGACTTCCTCCTCTTGAGGTTGGCATCAGAGTTAGCGGGATGCCTACGTGCTGGCGAGCTCTCAGCTGTGAGGAAACCACACCTCCTTTGGGTTGGAAGCTCTGACTGGAGCTAGCCGGCCTTTTAATCCTTTCCCCCAAGACTGCTTCTAGTCCCTCATGCTGTTCTCGTGGTCCCTCCTGGATGCAAGTTCTTCTGTAAGTGGAACAAATGAGTCCCTCAGTGCCCAGAGCTACAAGACTCCTCTAAAGCTCTGCAGAGAGAACATAGATTTGGAGATGGAGGGGCACTGCAGGGAGGTGTGGCACCTGATCGAGCCCAACCAGGTCCTGAGGAGACGACAACCACCCAAGTTAGGTACACAGTGAAGACCTTCTCCATGCCCCTCCCGTATCCCTCCCTGGTATCTCCCTCATCAAACTGAAAGGCAAATAGAGGAAACAGGTAACAAACACACCTCAGCTGGTCTTAGCTTCTGGACAGACAATGTGAGGACGTAAGAGGCTGTTTGCTTATTCATAAATCATTAGATAAGGATTTATGCATCATGGGTTGGTTGTGCTTTTGTTTCCCACCCTCACGCTGTTATTCCGTAACAGGCTACAGAGGTTGAGCAGCACATCAAAATTAACTCAGTATACCAAAACGTTTAATTTTCAAACACCTTGAGACAGAAAAGAACACATCTGGAAAGATGGCAGCAGCGGGAAGGACCTACGGCTTGTAACGCTTTTTGTCTTCAGCAACCTAATTAAACAGATAACCTAGCCAAACACCTGGCTCTGGTAGAAAGAGTTCTTTATTTTGTGTAGGAAGGCTTGGAGTTAATCAACTTTAACAAACGACCGATGGCTTCTAGAGACTCTTGTTGGGGCAGTTGTGTCACCAGCTCAAAGGCTTTCATCCCCACCTCACGAGCCTAGAATGAAACAGAAAAGACCAACTAATTGTCAGGAATTTGCCTTTTCTCAAGGGGTAGTTAAAATACCTGCGGAGGCTCACTGGAATGGCTGCACCCGAGCAGATCCAGGCTCCAGCCACTCAGCTGCCTGCTTCAGAGGGTGACCTGTACAAGCTGCTTTACAGGAGAGAATAAAGCTGCCAGGTATCATGTTTAGGATCCATTGGTGCAGACAAGAGATTACTAACCCCAGCCCCCCGTGCTGGAGATCATTGCCTCCCGTCTAATACAGCAGCTCATCTGAACATTCCCAAAGCTATTTCAGGAAAAAAAAAACAGCTGTATTGACTCAGTCTGAACTAAATCCCTCATTTCCCTTGGTAGCTCTTCCAGGGATTAGACATTCTCACAATTATAAAGCTTTGCTTTTTTTCTAATTTGAATTTGTTTCTTTGTGTCTTCCAAACACTGACTCACATCATTACGGCTTTCTCTGATCCAATGAAGAGACCATTAGTAATCTGTATTTTCACCCTCCAAAACACAGGCAGAAGAAACTCAGGCTTTTGAGCGCTTAGCCCAGACAAAGAGGCCTGATTTCCAGATGGCTACTGCTCAGCACTTCCTCAAAATCAATGATTTTTAAGGCAGAGAATTGGGCGCTCTGAAGTTAGCAGTCACATCTGAAATTTTTAG